AGTAGTTATTTGGGCTGTCAATGGAATCATCATTCCTACAGCTAAGTTTAATGATTAGGTATGTAAATCTAACAGATTTGCTTTGTCTCAAAATTTAAAATAATTGACGATACAGCAAAACAGCTTTGTGGCCACCCTTGAAAGTCTTCTGTCAAACTGCCTAAATTTTAATATAAATCCAACTCGATGTTGTTGTCATCTCACCTAAGTGGTCAAGATAAGAGTGCCCTGAAGTGATATTTGTATCTGTTTACAAGGCCAACAGAATGGGAAAATCCTGCATTCCTAAACACAATATATTGTTTAACTGTTTAAACATGAAATTTGCCAAAATTGGCTTAATCGATTCAAGACAAACTCGACCGAAAGAAAAGGTATTTGATTAGTTTTGTTATACAAATTCCTCTTGTAGACTGAAGGATAAAAAAAAAAATTGTCACCAGGAACAGAAAAAGGAGAACTTTTTAGAACTTAAAGAGTTTATTAACTGATTTTGAAGCAGTGTGTGAAATCAGGTTGTACATGTACAGAGAATTTGGCTTTTTTTGCAACAGTAGTCATGTAACTGGATATTTTGTTGTTTTTGTTTCTTATTAAAAATGGATTTAGTGGGTTTTGAAACTGCCTTCTAAAATTAAAATGGAAACTAGTTGTGATTTAAATGTGTTTGAAGCTTGCTGACAACTAGAATAAGTAGTTTACTATGTTTACTAAACGATGGCATCATCATTATTCAAAATTCGGAAAATAGGGATTTAGTGGGTTTTGAAACTAAGCAACTCATTTAGTGAATGTTTGTTGAAATAAACTTTGTGTTAATTAATTTTGTGATTGTATTGTGTTAGTGTTTCATTAGTATATGTTATGCTGTGTATGTTTTTGAATAACTGTCAGTGATATCTGATTTTCTATATGATTTACAGTTTGTGTTGATGTATTTGTTACGTAACTTGTTGTTTAATATGTTCAAGTACTGTTTGTAAAATAAGGTTGTTGTATACAATTATTTTTTCTAATTAACAAACTATTCACAAAATATTCACATCTCCACATAGTTACAAAATGGAACTATGTGGAGATATGAATATTTTTATGTAAATTTGTCATGTAGTGTCTATCTATATGCTGTTGTGTCTGTTTCTTGTTTTGTAACAATATAGTAGATTCAGATGATAAATTCATTTTTTAGTCCACTTCATCTGCTGGCATGGTTTTATGGCTTTGGTGATTGATGGCTGAATTGCTGCTGAAGTACATTTGCTGAATTGGTATGTGTTGTCTATTGTGTGTGAGTGAGGTTGTGAATATATTTTTGATGCAGTACCCATACTTAGACCAGTGATATTTTTGCCACTAGTGCCCAAGGTAGACTATGACAAATATTTTCAATATGAGCATCTGATTAACTCATGAATATGGACCTTGCCAACCTGAGTGAAATCTAAGCCAATATTATGCCATAAACATGAAATAACCATTTTTGTGTTTGCTACAGAAGTGGATATGCTTATATACCTTAAGCCAATTGTTTATAAATCAGCTGTCCCTGTTTAGTAGTTGCCTAATTTGGGCCAGATACAACTTAAAGATCTCTCTTTGCTTCATTTCTCCCAAAAGACCTTACTAGAGGGGTGGCCTACTGGAAGCTTATACTCGCACCAGTTTTGCTCTATGGTTCATTGGAACTACTAAGCTCTGTCACTCTGACAAGGGTAACTAGTGAGAGAGACATTGTTGTTGTTATTATTATTATAAATGTAAATTATATATACTAACCTACTCCGTGATAAATGTACACTTCTCATAATTAATCTTGAAACTGGTCTGGATGGATCATAAAGTTCAGCTATTTGACTTAGAAAAGCCACTTTAAGATCAGGTAAAATTTGGGCTAGATACTGGATATGTTTATAAAGCAATTTAGGTTTACAGGCTAAAAACTGTAATATTTTTGGACTTGTGATACAGTGAAGAAAGCTTTCTGAAATAATAAGATAGTTAAATTAATTTATAATTTTTAATTTATGTTAAAATCTTATAAACATTATATAAATTATAATCTATAAATCAGCGGTGGTTCAAGGCATCTAATATGGATTGCTGTCACAAGCTAATGCACAGCAGGCAACACAAATACAATTGTTTTTGTTTTCTATAATGTTTTGATTGATGCTAGTTTTGATAAAAACATAAATTTTAACTTAAAATTAACCTAAACTAGTGCCAATCAAAACATTATATGAAATAAAAATAATTCTATTAGTGATGCATTCTGTGCACCCTCTTGTGACAGCACCCCATATTTAAGGTGACCAGATTTTAACATTGGTGAAGCGGAACNATATTTATTCATTATTGTAACTATGTATTATATATATTATATATATGCCATGCAGTCATGCATAAACTAAATTTTCACAATTAAAAAAGCACAGACTCAAGGTATTTGAATAAAATTTTATTTTTATTCAACATATTTCTCTTCATCATTGATGCATTTCTTGCAATGATCCAGTCAAATATTTTAAAAAATTCATTGCAAGTGAAGCTGCTCAAACACTTGTAACATTATTCTAGATGTCCTCAAAAGTAATTACTTCTTGAAATTCTGCCCTATAATCCACTCCTTTCACAGATTTTGGAAAAAGAGATTTATCTTAACCTTGGCTAATTGAATTTTGATTCTATTGCAGAGATGATAAGATCTAAAGCTTCAAAACAGATCCTCCTATAGCAGACCTCAGGCCTCACACACATTAAATTTGGGTTCATTACCATCCCCTTCATCCAGGTTCCTTTTTCTAGGAAAACTTGCTTTATTTATGTTACATCTCTTAAACAACTTCCAATTCTTTCCAAAATATTCAAACTGCTTCAGAATGAATTTTTTTCAAAGTGTAAGTATCAAGCCTTTCCTTTCCACTGCTGTTATTTTTGATGACTGAAGAGTGGCAGTTAAATTGTCACAGTGACTAAAGATGAAAACACTCAGTTTGAGTTCAAAGAGAAAAGTAAAATTTTCCATCTGAAAAGAAAATTCAACAATTCGTGCTCTGACTGTGTCTTGCACCTCTTTTAATGCTATTGTCTATACCTGTTTTAGGACATTGTAATTCTCAAGAATTCTTATCACTCCAATGTGTTGGATTCAATGCTCTCAAGCCAGATGTTTCAAAATCATAATCCAGATGTAATTCAATTTTTACTTTCTTGAATTAGGTTTCTTGTTTTGGAGAATACTTTATTAACTTTGTCACTTCAGTCAAAACATCCAGATATTGCATGTGACTTTGCATTTTTTAACAGCATCAGAACAAGAAAGGTACCTAATAATTGACTTATGTTATTGTAAGATTCGTGCTAATCTTACTGATTGATGTTTGAGGAAGGAAATAGATATAAGCCATTAACACATTACAAGTTTATTCTCTACACAGAATCACATATACAAGAGAACAGGGCCAAAGAGACCAGGGCTGTGGTTTCTGAGCTTATATATTAAGTAGCACAGCCCTCAGGCTCTGCACTTGACACACATCCACATGAGTTGTGATGAGACATGATATGATAGTTACTTAAATTATGAGTTTCATTTTTATGCTTATTTAATAGATTTAAATGAATTCAGTTAACATGTTAAGGAAGTACAAGAAGAGCATATAAGCAATGACAATGCCCAATGGCATCTATTGGAGCAGATGCACTTGAAACTTGTAATTAAAAGTACAAAGTAATGAAATTAAAAAATAACTAAAAATGAAATAATTGCTTAAAAATTGCAATAAACTGTACTTTAAAATTTTGTCTTTTGAATCAAAGATGGCCATTTGGAGTAAATACTTGATCTACACTAGTGATTCCCAACTGGGGTATGTGCTTGGTGGTTCAGGGGTACGCAAAGAAAATTTAATAATGGTGGATATATTATAAGAGAAAAAAGGGTGGAAACTGCTGATCTACACAATCTATCTATTAGAAAACAAAAATTGCAATACCAATAACATCCAGGCTCTAGTTACAATTAAAGTAAAAATAATGATTATTTACCTGTTCTTTTCTTGTCCCATTTCCTAATTGTCCATCAGTATTTCTTCCCCAGACAAACACTTCCCCATCACTTGTTAATATTGCTGAATGATGACTACCACAAGACACCTGACATTTTCATTAATAAAAATTTTTTATACATATGACATTATAATATCTTATTGATTAATTAAAATCAACAATTATTTTATACCTGGATAATGTTACAACTTATATGTGAGGTATTAACAATAGAAGGTAAAATATGATTTTGATTAAGTGATGAACTTTGACTGGCATGACTAGAATTGTTTTGTTGTCGATTTAAATGAGCTTGATTAGAGCTTTCAGATGAAGTCTGAAGTCTTGCTCGCCGCGAACACTGTGCTTGTAAACGTAAAGCTTGTGGATTACATCCCCAAATATACACTTTATTTGTATTTGAAACTGCAATCTAAATATGACAAAATACTTAAAATATTAAAATTTAATAAAATTAATTATAGAAAAATATTTTTACTTACTGTATGGAAATAATTTGATGAAATTAATTTAATTGATTCAACTAAATCAACCTTCTTTGGTAGAGACTGTTTAGTGAGAACACCTGTACCTAACTGACCAAATAAACCTGATCCAAATGTGTAAACTTCTCCCTAAAAACAATAATACATAATTATTTATTTATATTTTTATTAATAATAAATGTAGAAAATTAATACCTTGTGGGTTAAAACAACACTATGACCTTGACCACCACATATAATCAAGACAGGCTTATCTAACAGACATTGGACAACTTGTGGATAATGTAAATCTTCTGGTTTTCCATGTCCCAATTGACCATGAACTCCCCATCCCCAAGTAAATACCCTTTATAAAAATATAATGCTAGTGTACATTTGATTTACATGCAAGAGAAACTAATCCCAAATTGATGCTATAAACCATTTCAGAATAAATAATTTNTCTTCTCTAGCTAAAGTTTCAACAAATACTGGATGGCATGAACGTTGCACGTTTCCTATTCCCAACTGACCAAATCGTGATGACCCCCATGCAAAAACCTTTTATAATAATTAAATTAAAAAATCATTTAAAAAATACTAATTATTATAAAAAATTCCTAATTACAATTATTATTCTTACCCCACAATCTGTTAATACTATTGTGTGCAAAGCACCACAAGCAACGGAACTGACTTTCACTTTTAATGTCTCAAAATATGTAACACATGTAGGACTGGTATATTCTTGACTAGGATCTCCATGACCCAATCTAAAAATTTGAAATGAATTTTTTAAAAACAGAAAAAAAAATTTTAAAAATATAATTACAAATAAAAGTCTAAATTTCTGAATAATTTTAGGATATATTAATACTAATTTTAATTAATTACAATCAAAATTTAGTCTAAAAATAGATGGTGACAATATCATTTTGTATAAATATTAATACAGTGGGTGATCAGTTAACGAACAGTTTGGATAGCAAACAAATCGGATAACAAACAATTTCGCAAAAGATTTTTTATGATCAGACAACAAACACATGTTTGGACAATGAACACATGTTTGGATAACAAAGACTTTACTGAACAAACATAAAAAGAAGCAACAGAAAATAATGAATACTGATTGATTTTCCCTTGTCTTCAGGAAACAATTCAAAACCTTTTGGAGTGCGAGAGATGTCAACATCGACGCTCAACCCGATACCAATTGGATAGTATCCCTCTGAATTTTGAAACTCTCCTTTGTAATTCCAGCTTTTTGTTTACCTTTCTGATAAATAATTTTTTCTAGTCTTTGCGAGACTGTCAAATGGGCACTTGTTAAGTTTTGCATTGGAGTTTATTTATGAAAGGTGAAAGTTTAACTGTCCCATCGGCTATTCATTAATGTTTTAATACCAAATTTCAAATTTCATCAGGGCTTTGCATTTAAATAATTTTTGTTAGCTGATTTCTGTTCTCTGAATTTTTGTAAGTGCTTTTCAGAACTTTTTATTTAAAAAAGAAACTGATAATATTATGGAGCCTAAAAAGGAGTGTCAAGAACTGTGCTCACCATAGAAACCAAGTAAGAGATAATAGCCAAGGTAGAAAGTGGGCACAAGATGTCTGATGTTGCTAGGCAGTATGGCTCAAACAGGTCTACAGTAGGCACAATCTTAGCTATGAAAGATATATCAAGAAGTTTCAAGCTGCTAATGGAGTAATGAAAATAAATTATCATAAAATCCTACGGTAAATCGATAATTGGTTAAAGAACAATTTGAATAATGAACAAAGTGTTGGAATGGATTATGTTCATTAACTGATCACCCACTGTAATTAGAATTATCTTGATCTAGAATAAAAATTAAACTAGACCCAAATTTTTGTCTTAATTAGTTAATCAAATATCAATATAGTCTGAAATAATCTGGCAGTTTAGATTTGTATTTTAAAATGAGATTTGATGATTATAAATGTCTTATAGTAAATGAACCATATAATACTTAGAACCATAAAATAATCATTTTCATATGTACATAGACTAAATTTATATTAAATTTATTATTTTATAAAGCATAAATTAAAATGTAAATATTCANACCGAAATCATTTTACAAAGACGGGATTAAAAAGCTACCATCAAGATGGCAAGAAATTGTACAAAATAATGGTGAATACATTATAGATTGAAATAAGATTTAATTAAAATTTTTTGTTGCTTTTTTTGTAGATAAAAATGTGCACGAACTTATGGACTGACCTGATATTTCTATAACAGGGCTTCTTAAACTTTTTTAATTCATGACCCCATTTATGATTGTGATTTTTTTTTCACGACCCAAAAAATATAAAATAAAGATATATACAAATTTGCAAAAACAATAATGGTGTACTACCACAGTTCACTCTTGTGTTACAATGGAACAGAGACAACTGAATACACTGAAAAGTGACAAGCAGGGCTGTGGAGTCGGAGTCATGGAGTTTTGGTATTTTAGCTGGAGTCGGAGTCGTCAAAAAATCCGCCGACTCTGACTCCTTTTTACTTTCCAACTTCTTATGTATATAAAATGGAAAAGTATTGGAATAGTGTCAAATTTGACCTCCAGGTTTTTTTTTGCAAATCTACATGTTTGGAGACCTCTCGAACCCCTCAAAAAGTCAATAAAAATTCAGAGGAAAAATTTGCGTGCGTGTATGTGTGTTGGAGTCTAATTTGTTTAGAAGCCAACACATACATGCAAGTGTGAGAGTCGAGTTTAGTGAATAAATTCGTTAAATAAAATTTTTGTTAAGGGAGGAAATGGAAAAAATTTTAACTTCAAACTGCCAAAAAAAAAACGAGCATAAAATTCTTTTCCCACGAACTTAGTTCCTTGTCAAGCATGATACATCGAATGTGTCGCCCGAAATCTCGAAAAAGACTATTGGTCAAAGAAAAAAGAACAGTCCTAATAAGGCAGTGGAAAAAACCCAACGAGACCCCCTTTATAAAAAGGAGGGGTCGATACGTAAGAGTCAGTCTCTGGAAATTAGTGCGCACTGTTCATTTTTACAAAAACGGATAAGTCGCTATAAGGAACTCGTCTAATCGCCGCTGTTCGAAAGGACTATGCCGACAACGTTCGAAGGAACTTTGTGATACTTGAAACCCGGTTCAACGTTTGAAGGAACTTTGTGAAGACCCATCAACGATTCAACCCAAGACTAATCAACGATTCAAACTAAGGTATTTATCCTCGCGCGAAATATATGTGAGCTCTCTCTCTCAGAAATACGGGTAACCGGTGAAAGTTGATATGCTAATTAACCGATTGTATATAGCTATTGCGATTGTATATAGTATGAACAATAAACGGGCATTATGTATAGAGAATGCATAGTGTGATTCCTCTGGTTCTCTCGGTACGCCTCCATCCCGGAACTAAAAGTCCACAACGCGACCGTTCGCGTAAATAAACGGCCAATAACAAAATTTTTCTGTGTCTACTACAAGACACAGTGGTGTCATCCTGACAGGGCGCCAAAGAGGTGCCGACCCTGCGGTCACACAAGCGAATTTTTCCTCTAAATTTTTATTGACTTTTTGAGGGGTTCGAGAGGTCTCCAAACATGTAGATTTGCAAAAAAAACCTGGAGGTCAAATTTGACACGATTCCAATACTTTTCCATTTTATATACATAAGAAGTTGGAAAGTAAAAAGGAGTCAGAGTCGGCGGATTTTTTGACGACTCCGACTCCAGCTAAAATACCAAAACTNCCGACGGCCGCTTTTGACAAATAAAATTAATATTCGATGAATTATCGGTTACTCGCACGAATAATTATATTGATAAAATAAAAATAAAATTGGTCTTATAAGACGAGAAAGTTAATTTTTTTGGTATTTTCTGGTTAGCAGAACAGAATGTATGGTATGAACAATAAACGGGCATTATGTATAGAGAATGCATAGTGTGATTCCTCTGGTTCTCTCGGTACGCCTCCATCCCGGAACTAAAAGTCCACAACGCGACCGTTCGCGTAAATAAACGGCCAATAACAAAATTTTTCTGTGTCTACTACAAGACACAGTGGTGTCATCCTGACAGGGCGCCAAAGAGGTGCCGACCCTGCGGTCACACATTAAATTCCATATATCAAAAATAAAATTATATTAAGTATTTCATACTCTTTTGGTAGTATTTAATTTTAAAAGCAAACTGTTACCACCAAAGACGTGGGATCAAATCAAGGCTCGGGTAACCAAATTTGTAATTACAGGAAATAGATGGAGACTCCGAAAGACACAAGAGGAGGAGAAAAGATGCAGAGGCAGTGTCAAAAGNCCGTAGCGTGGCGCTACGGACGGCGGGTAAGTAGTTCGGCTGCCCGATGACGTTTTACGTATTATAGGAGTTATTTTTACCGTTGTTTACGGATAATGCCACAATTTTTATAGGAATCATAACTATAGGAAACGGTTTTATAGGGGGATCTACTGTATATATAATTCTTATTTATGTAAGTAATTGGATGATTTTGAATTGCTGATTAATTAATTGGTAAATCAATAAGTATTTTAGTTGATCTATTATAAAATACCTATTTATGCATCACTATTCCTTACTGGCAAAATATAGCTTATAAAACAGCAAGCATTTTAAGAGCACAGTATAGAAGTTCAAATTGAGTGCAGAAAAATTGTCAGTATTAACGCGAAAAGACTAAAAACCATCAAACTTAATACTTATTATTGTACCAAAAGTTCTGAGTTACACCATCAAAGTTTTATAATTGATATATCTTCTGAACCAAATGAAGTAGAAAGTTTCTAAAACAGTTAAGCTGAGATAATCAATAAATAACATCGAAATAAGTGATCAAACCCCAAATAAAAACTATGTTCTCAAAATGGATCTTTTTTTTTATACTCTTTCTGCCCTGTGGGCACTAAGAGGGCCTCTTATAGCAAGCCCATTATGGGTTCAGCCAGGCCCACAATGGGGCAACCGGGTGGTGAGGGACGGGGCCAACATATCCAGACGGACCACCCCGAAAAATTCCTGGGATTCCTTGACCCGTCTGGACTCGATCCTGGGTCCCCCAGAGCGGTAGGCTGCCATCTTGACCACTTGGCCATCCGGCTGCCTCTCAAAATGGATCAGCTAGTAGTATTGCAAAATAAACTGATCATGCAGGAGCAAATAATAAATTAGACTTTAGGAAGGCTGCAATGATTTTATCATAAGAAAAGTTTTGAGAATCATCAACTTCCCAAATGTTGAGTATAGATCTTTGACTCATTAATGGTTGCAATTTTCAAGAATAGTTGGGCACAATCTCTACAGCAATAATAAATGGTCAGATTATATTTCAGGATGAGATGTCTTTTCCCCCTTATGACGGCTGATGTAAATGAACACTATTAAAAACAATCAGACAATTATTGATCTAATCCTGAGAAATGAGATGAGATGCTGACAGGAAAAACTGATAAGACAATCTCTGTCAAAAGAATTAGAGTTTGCCTATTGCAAAAGTAACAATTGCAAAAAAGTTTGTCAAGATCAAAATCAAGCTGTGATTTTAAATAGTAGTTTGGACAAAGGACTATTTTCAAAGCTACAGAACTGTAGTAAGTTTGCTAAGGTATCCCATTACTTTAAATCGAAACATATATACAAATTCTGTCATAAAGACAGGTGAACCAACAAAAGAAAACAAATAGATTCTTGTGCATAATCTTTTTCTCTAACTGACCACAGAAATATATTGGAATGAACTGAAGAACTGTGTGAGAGAAAGAAGAAAGGATGCTCTAGTGCAAATCATTCCAAAAAAGTTGAAAAGCTTTCTCATATTATGACAGTTACAGTTGACTAATAATCTTTTATCGTACATTAGGATAAAAGATTATTACTGGTCATACCAAAGATGAAAATAGAAGTCAAAATATCAGAGTAAATTTTCTTTTAAAACTCAGTTTATATTGCATAATATGAGACAGATTTATCATAATAAGCCACTTTGAATTAAATATTAAAAAATGAAAATCCACAAATGCCCATTTTTGGTCAATGAACAAAAAATTTTTTTTATATAATTCTCAGTTATAACTAACTTATAAGCAAATTAATCATTAAGAGGAGAAAACTGATGACTTGATCCCATCATTTTATTAATGTATATTGAATTGTATACACACAATTCTTATCTTTACATAGCAATAGTTAAATAGCTGTTTTTTTTTTACCTGTTCAACATTTTAATGTAAAGCATTTTAGAACATTCCCCATATTTATTTAAATACAGAAAAGTAATAAGAAACAGATTGAAGCATATAACTTAATTGTATTCTGTCTAAATATAAAAATTAAATAAGTCAAAACCCATATTCATCAGCATTTAATTTATCACAAAAAGTTTTTAAATCACTAAGTGATCATCTTCAACATTTATTACTTAAAATAAGTTTTGAATTCATGGTTTGAAACAGTTTATGTAATAGTTAGTAAATATATACATATATATTTGTTTAATACTTTTCAGAAATTTTTTTTATTTCACTACTGTCAAAAAGATAGTGTATTTGATCTAGCTTATAGAATATTTAACACGCTTCATATAATTAATAGTAATATTAATAATTCATTAGATACTTCCCTACATAATTTTTTTTTCTTTCTTTCTTCAGGATTTCTCATTGAAATTCAACAGGAAATCCTGAAAATGTTAATGAATTAAATACTAAATACAGTTAATTCATTCAAGTAAAATATATTAATTAAGTGTTCATTACTATAGTTCTGTAGTGCATTAAAGAAATACTTCACAAAAGATACTTTTCAAATTTTTTTCCAGCCAAATCATTTATCTATATCTCTAAGATGTGGTATATTATATTAAAAACAATGGCTTCAAGACAAACAAACTGAAATTTATTTTATATCTGCTGTTATAAAATTTAAAAAATTTTCTGATATTCTATACTAATCAAGAATAAACTATCTTTTAGAAGTGTATATTCAACAATTTAAGAATAGAAACAAAAATGAACAATATTTACCATCTGGACCTCTCTTTCTTGCTCCTCCTTTCTATAAAATAACAAAAATATTGCAATGAATATTAATGTTGAACTATAGATTATGACAATGTTGCAAGTTTTAAAAATATTAAAATCTTAATTTTTTGAAAATGTAAGAGCAATTACATTTATATTCTAATAATAAAAACCAGATTGTAAACATAATTTGAAATTATTATTAAACAGATTTTAAAATCATGCAGAAGATAATAAAAGATAAATTTTTTAGTACACAATAATCAAAATAAAAAAATTGAAATTTTTGATTTCCCCCATTATCAATTCTTGTTAAATGTCACCAAACAGACAAAACATATTTTTGTAATTTTCAATGAAAGAAGGTAAAACATTTGATTTAACAAAGCTAATAAATAGCTTTATTAACTCAAATATTTTAATTCATTCACAATATTGAATTTACTTTTTATAATAAACGATATTATTATTCATGCCATCACTGGTTTAGAGGATGGTGTACAATCAGTTATAAAATATAGCGCAAAAGTTATTTAGGTGTGTCATGGCTCCATAAAGTATATATGTGTGAGAGTCGAGTTTAGTGAATAAATTCGTTAAATAAAATTTTTGTTAAGGGAGGAAATGGAAAAAATTTTAACTTCAAACTGCCATAAAAAAACGAGCATAAAAATCTTTTCCCACGAACTTAGTTCCTTGTCAAGCATGATACATCGAATGTGTCACCCGAAATCTCGAAAAAGACTATTGGTCAAAGAAAAAAGGACAGTCCTAATAAGGCAGTGGAAAAAACCCAACGAGACCCCCTTTATAAAAAGGAGGGGTCGATACGTAAGAGTCAGTCTCTGGAAATTTGTGCGCACTGCGTTTTTTACAAAAACGGATAAGTCGCTACCAGGAACTCATCTAATCGCCGCTGTTCGAAAGGACTACGCCCGACAACGTTAGAAAGAACTTTGTGCTACTTGAAAAACGATTCAACGTTCGAAAGAACTTTGTGAAGACTAATCGACGATTCAACCCAAGACTAATCAACGATTCAAACCAAGGTATTTATCCTTGCGCGAAATATATGTGAGCTCTCTCTCAGGAATACGGGTAACCGAAAAACTTAGATATGTTAATTAAACTGATTATACATAGCTATTGCGATTGTATATAGTATGACCAATAAACGGGTATTATGTCTAGATGAGTTAGAGTGTAATTCCTCTGGTTCTCTCGGTACGCCTCCATCCCGGAACTAAAAGTCCACAAACGCGACCTTTTTTCTGTGTCTACTACAAGACACAGTGGTGTCATCCTGACAGGGCGCCAAAGAGGTGCCGACCCTGCGGTCACATATGTATATAATTTTTTTGGTATATAATAAACATCTTAAAGCCTGATGAGTATATAATAAAATAACCAATGATCGTCTGAAAGATTGGACTAGAATTTGGCTAATTAAATGATTAATATGAATAATTTGTCTATAGGGAGGCATTAGATTATTTCATTATAATTTTTTTTTTGTATATACACAAAGAAAGTTGTAAAAACTTTGTATTTGTTATTATAATGCAATGATTTTCAAATATTTGTATTTTTTTCTATGGTATTAGTAATCAACCAGGACTCAAATGGCCTGAGTCCTTGTGGGTGCATTACATGCACCTAGCTAGATTCACCATTAATCCAAACTATCAATCAATTGGATTGGCATATTTAGTCCCAATCATTTAAATGTAACATGTTTCTATTAAAAACACCAAATTTTTGAAACCATTTACTTTTTTTAATATTAGATTATGGTGAAAACTTTTACTATACCTAAATTACCATATAAACATTATTACTGAGAAATTAAAAAATTTTTTATACAATAATGTGCACCTTTTATCACAGTTATTGTTTTATAATTTAAAAGTATTGAGGCAAAATTATCTAATAATAATAATGAAACTGCACAGCAAGAATAAAATAAAAGTTTTATTTAATTTTGAATTGTTATAGTTTCAATATGTTGTAATTAAAAGGTGACTAGATCTACAATTCTTTTAATAAAAATTTGATATTAAAATCAAATCAAATCATAAAAAAAAAAATGAAATTACAATCCCAATGTCACAACTATCGTTTTTTTGGTAACTAACTTTTTTTTATTCAGTATAATGTGCTTTTTAGATATTCAATTTAGAATTAAAGTAACAATTAACTAAAAGTGAACTTAAAAAATTTAAATATCAAACAAATTTTATAATGTGAAATTTTACTTTGCGTATCTGTTATGTCAAATTCATGTTAGTAGAATTAAAATTTAAGTGTACTTTTAAAACTACATTTACTAAAAATATAATAGTGGCCATTTCTTTCTATGCAAAGGGAAGTATTATTGAATAAATGATCGCCAAAATATTTTCAAGTGTACCATATAAGTGTCTAACATTAACCCATTTAACAGTCAAGAGTTATCAGAAATTGTATATTTATTCTACTAATAATTTTTATTTTATTAAAATCATGATTAGGGTTAAAACTAACCTTTGCAGTACTTGCAAATATGCACTGCCTACAATGCCATTGTACTTCTGGTTTTAATACATTATCTGGAATACTTGGACGATGGCAAAGTTGATGATAACCTAATCAAGAAAACAGAATAAGTAGAATATCAGCACATCAGAAAACAATAAGTTGACATTTTTTAAATTATGCTTTGTAATCAGTTGATTTATATAACTAATTTATTGTAAAAATAAAAGTGTCATGTTTAATCAGCGTTTTGCTTTTTAAATAGGAAAGTTGCAAATTAGATTATTACAAACTGAAGACCAAATACAAAAAACTCAAGAAATATTTCTTCAAGAATTTTTCAAATATTTTTCAAGAAATATTTCTTCAAGAATACCATGACAAAAAGACTTTTAATCAATTTATATATTCGTAAGCATTCTCTGTTTACGAATATGTAAATTGATATTGAGCCTCACAGAAAAGGTTGATTCTGCTCATGTTAATTGTATTCTTGTGATTGTGAAGGATATGTGAAGACATCAAATTTTTTATTTGTATTTAGCCTTCAATTTGTAATATTTTAAAATATATTTCATCTTGGATTTTTCCGAAAACTTTTATTTAAGTAAAAAAATTTGAAAACGATTTTATTTCAGCATTTGTAGAGATACAGAAAACCCAAGTACTTTCATAACAAAAAAGAAAATTTATAAGGTTATGATATATGATCACAAAAATATCTGACACAACTTACTTGAAATTTTGTTGAAAAGACAATGTGGGGGAAAAGAATCAAAGTATTTCAGTGTGCGAAGTGAATGTATGTGAGCAAATGTTAAAGATTTATGAAAGCGTATTGTGAGAGACCGGATGAGATGGAAATTTTAATTAACAACAACTAAATATATCAAATTTGTTTAAATTAATGCTTAAATTTCACATATTATATAAAAAAAAATTTTCCCAACACTAAAAAGATGTGATCGCAACTTTTCCTGGATCTACTTCCTTTCCAAAAGTGACACGTCTTCCGAATGTGTCACCAGGAACTTTCATCCAAAAATCACTTATTGGTAAAAAAAAATTAACATTGCCTAAAAAGGGCATAAAAATCAAGGGGAAGATCCCCAAAATAAGAGACAAACATCGAAACCAACACAGGGAGTCCTCCTTTCCATGTGAGTGTTCCCTTGCCGATCCTTTCAACTGCCCTTTGCCGTAGACGCCCTAGAAACAAACATTTGATTGTGAATGGTATCATCAAGCAGCCTAACTGTACCCAACCAAGAAACCTCTCCATCCTGTCATAAGGACGTTTTGTGACTTCAAGACTTCGATCAAGCCGATTCAACCGACCAAGGTATTTAGCACCATGCGCAAGAATATAAGCTCTCTCTCTCTTGGCTAACTTATAAAAAAAAAAAAAAAAAAAAAAAAAAGTTACTTCTACCGAAGCTTTATTCATTTTATGACGCTCGAACTCTATAATGTTACCTTATGTATACGTGTAACTAAAAAAAAAAAAAAAAAAAAAAAGTTACTTCTACCGAAGCTTTATTCATTTTATGACGCTCGAACTCTATAATGTTACCTTATGTATACGTGTAAATAATTTACAAAAATAAATGGATATTTTTAATTAAGTTGTAGTGTGCACTTCTTTCAGCTGCATTGTCTCTCAGGACGTCCAAACTCCCGAATCCGACCACTCACATGTGAACGAATGAATAGTCATTGCCAACCCATTGTTTACAATATTATATTTATTATCGGCGTATTTATCATGCTCAAAAGCAAAGATTAGTCTATTTACTAAGTGAAGGGCATACGTTATTTGAGTTATTATACAAACTAGTTTGTTTCAGCAAATATTTATCTTAAGTTGCTTTACAACTGTTTTATTTCATATCTTTACTAAAACTTACCATAAAAATTATTTATAAAAGGAGTTGAAATTGTGTTCAATACATTACTTTTCAGTTCTACAGATGTTATTTTTTCCCAGATCTTCATAGATAAACTATAATGGTCCAAAATAATAATTCAAATCAAAGCATTTTGCCATCAAAAGAGAGAAACTTGATATTTTACCTTTTTGATGAAATTACAAATGCTCTATGACATTACACTCACAATTAACAACTAGCTAGAAACTATATTGAAACATGGATAAATGTCTCCAAATCCCTATCTAATTTTAAATGAGGAGGGAACACCAGAGTAGTTATTGGCATGTTTGCCTGATCACTTTCCATATGTGTATCATTAGGACAAGTCCAAACAATGATGCTGAATTATTTTACCCTTTTTATGTACTTTCGATTTTTTTTATTGTTTTTGTATGTATATAAATTGTGATAAATTATTAAATGCTTAATTTAAAACATTAATATATAATATTAATATTTAATTAATTTCAATCTACTGACCTCTGTTACATCTATCACATATCACTATTTCATTTGGAGCTTCTGATTTCTCTCCATCACAAATTGCACATGTTATTTCATCTGTCTGCATAGTACCTAGAAATTATGTAAAAAAAAGGTTTAACTAAAAGTTTACTTAGAATTTTTTTTCATTCAGATCAAAAAATGTTTTAAATTCTTAAGCAGCTGGAATAAGGTAACAGTAAGTTGTCAATTTTAAACTGCAAAATCAATGCTAAAATTTCCCAAGTTTTTTCCAAAAATCTAAATTAAATATTACATTTCATGTATCCATTGATATCATTATCAATAGATATTTCCTAGTCACAAAATTTAATTTCTTCCAGATTAAATTTGGTCAAATTATTTATAAATTAAATTTTCTGAATTTACATTGTACAACATAATACAGGGTGGCCAGAAAGTCTCTTTACACCTGACTTACACGACAGGTGTGATATCTATATATCACACGACATTAAAGTACAGTGATTACTCTTATGAATAAAAAATATCTGTATAGGCTCCATGTTCATACCACAGCCTTATGCACTTCCATGTTTGTTCATTCACAACAACATTTGCAGGGTGACAATTCAGAACACTGCATAAACTACATTTTTCAGATTGCTAGTCTGGAGTATTGAAATTTTAGCACTTTCACAAGACTCCAGAAGACATTGTCAGGACTCATTGGAGGCCAAGGCAAAGGAGCTGAAGACTCTGTTGACCCATATCTGATCCAGAGATTTGGGAAAATTTGGTCCAGATTTGCACAGACATTTAGTACAAAATGCACTGGCACACTATCTTACTGAAACCAAAACAGCATCAGCAACTGTTTTTGCTGCAAGCTTGGGAAACAAACCAGTCCTTGAGCATGCTGAGATAATTTTTCTGATTAACCTTCAAAGCAGATAATACCTGTAGCCATGCCTTCCCAAACCATAATATGAGGTGGGTTGTGCTTGATTTCCTCAAAGAAATGAGGATTTTCTTTATCCAAGAAAAACACATTGTGATTCCAAGAGCAGAAATAAATCACACATTCATCTGAAAACATTACAATCTGAACAATCTGAAAACATTCATCTGGTCCATTGTTCTTAGAAAGCTTTGCAGCATTATTTGACAGGAATGCATGTGTCAATCCAGATCTACATCCATCAACTCATTAACCATTACTAGATGGAAACTTCTAACTTGAAGTCCTTTTTTATGTGGACTTGTATTGTTAATCTTGGAATGATTAACTGTGCATCACATTTGTATGTTGAATTTGTTGGTGATTATACAGGGCGAGTCAGAATTATGTGAACAATCTTTTGTGAGTCAAAATTATGTGAACAATCTTAATTTTTAATTAAACATTATTATTGAAACATCTTAATTTTGTTTTGTTTTCTATTCCGACTGGTCATGATGGACTGTTGTTATAGTCTCCCCAATCTCTGGTGTTCTGGCACTAAATTGTACTGCTGAATGTTGGTTTGAGTGCATTAATCATGCTGGTGGTCAGGTTGAGACTCTGTATAATGCAAACTTTGAGTAAATGCTTTCTCTCAAATAGTGTTCACATAATTTTGATTCACCTTGTATGATTGACTCCCCACAGCAGCACAAGTTTCCAAACAAGTGCTTGGCCTCCCACTACAAGATGCATCTCGCACACTTCCCATTGCAAAAGCTTTCTTTTCCCAACCTAACAACATTGGCTGTGACTTGTTATTTACTAAAATGCACAGTAAAGCCACTCATTATGTCACACATTATTTTGTTTGTAATTGATGCTTGTGAACCCACATGGATGTCACTACAGAGGAGCATTTTATGGTATCATTTGTATCAGCCATTGCATCCTTTCAACATCCTACTCAACATTGTTGCCAGTTTCCTCTGCCATATCAGGAGACAGAACATTCCACAGTATGGATCACATGTCAGAGAAGCAAAGACAAGTACTATTTTCAAATTTTCATGACAAAGCTGTTCATTTTCTTCATACAAACAATTAGGACTTTCCAGCCATCCTTTACAAGCATTATGATATTGCATGTAATAACTAAAAATACTGATCAGCTATCCTCTAAAAATATTTTAATTAAGAATGCAACAAAAGTTATTTCAGGTACTTTCCATAGGAAAGAATTTTACTATATTTAATAATTGTCATATGTACAAAATGCTATTCTGGATTTCAGCTTATTTGACAATTATTTTTCAGAATCAATTACTACTATGCAATTATACAATTAAATATTTAAACATACATACCAGTTTGTAAATCTTTATATAAAATCCAATGTAAAGAATTATCTTCAAAATTCACAAGGCACCTTTGATTTTCATTATCCACCTAATATGTTTTATAAAATTTAATGTTTCAAAAACTTTTTTACTATTAAAAATTACTTAAACTAATATTTATATAATTAAAAAATCACTACCGTGGGTAGTCAGAATCATGGCTTGTAACTAAGGTACAAACCACAATTCTGACTACTCATGTTCTAGACTGGATCTTATTCTCAGAAGTTTTCATGGATAGTCTGGGTTGGATTTATTAGATTGTCTTTGACATTATCATTACAATGCAACTGAGCCAAATCCATGATCAACATTATAAAGCATTCTTAATATCTGTGGTGGCTAATGACTGTCTAATGTGAGTGCTGAATATTATTACTACTTCACATAGCAAACAATATATATAGGGATCATCATAAATTATGTAATGCTATTTTTACACTTTTTGACTATCATCTCACATCCCTGTAATGCTCGAAAACAGTCTTATATAACAACGATGCCCAAACTGTGGCTCGTAAGCCACATGCGGCTCTTCAATAGCCTAATTGTGGCTCAACTAATAAATAAAAAATGTTATTTTTAAAAATTTCTGTATTTTGTAAATACACCAGACCCACAGTCAACTCATGTTTTTTAAAAATGTAATAAATACATAAAAACAGCTTACTTTAATTAATGTAACAGCTTTAATTGTCAAAATAAATACATTATGACTCTGAAAATTTTTTTTATACCAAGAACTTTAGGTGTGGCTCACAATATTTTCAGGTAGGTAACTAGGGCTCTTATAGCAAAAAGTCTGTGTACCCTTGTTATATAATACATCCAAAATAATTAACTCATATCCTCTATCAACCCCATAAATTGTATTAAGAAATGCAAGTCATACTACATAGCATGGAATACTGAACATTACATTAATTTCTTAATCACTTGTGCAATGTACAAAGCAGTAACATAAATGATACAGTTTACTATGCAACACTTATAATGTTTTGTAAAAACTGCAGAATTGCAATTGCACTAAAAGTTCACTCATTTCCTAGTAATCGTTGTTATTCTAATATGAATCCAATATATAAAAAAAAAGGATCATAGAGGAAATTACATAAAGAAAACATCAACCATATTAGTGCCACAGTTATAGTTTATGCAATTAAAAATTCAAACATTTTGTTAAGAATTGTAGAAAATCAAACTCCTGCAGTAATGACTTTTTTTTTTTTTTTGCAAAAATCAGTATCATATAACTAATGCCACATTAAGATTGCTTATTGATCTATTTATATCTTTTTGTCTTAATTATCTTCTTTTGTTAAATGAAGTAATACATTTATTCTAAATTTGATACAATTGCCTGCCTTGCATACAATTTTTTCTTTATCATCACATGCATAAGGTGGCAATTTTCCACTCTGATGTCATTTTTTGGAGAACTACTGTCATCAAAAATGATTTTCTGGAGATTTAAACGATTGCCACAAGAGATAGTCAGCTATGCTTGACATAATGGCACATGTAGTCTGCAAGTCATAACAACAACCTTGGATGCTTGTCTCCAAGATAGCCTGTAACACTATGACCTTTACAGCCTTATTCCATGTCCAAAAAATGCAAAAACAGTTCTGAGAAACATCTCGGCTCTCCTGTCATTTATATCCAGCTTGTTCATTTCCTTTCACTTCACCACTTTTCAGTTGCTTGTATCACATTAACCCACATTGTTGAAAAGTTTGAAGGGATTCTTTTTGTGAGCATGTTCAAGGACAGTTCTGTAAACAAAACAGGATTTTACAGAATAAAATTTGTCAAACATTAATTGTACTCAGAATAATGCATGGAATGTCAGCAAAAAATTGCTGCCTTAAGTAATTCTGTAGATAAAAAATATCCAGCAAGGAGTTGCTTAACTTTCCCAGCAACATTTAAAATTTTGGTGGCACCATCTGTTATGATATTTTATTAAAAATAACCATGTTTTTAATTATTATAAAATGGCAAAAAACTTAATTTTGGGGGGTAGGGATGGGTTTTATAAAAAATTGCAAATGCTAATAACAAGTAAAATCATCATTAAGTCCAACTCTACTCAAGATATGACACACCTTTAACCAATTTATTTCCTCACTTCCCCAACCTTTAACAGTATCAATCCCTTATATGCAAAATTTCAGAAAATTTTGACAAAGATCACAGGAGGAAATTTTATACGGATTAACTATTTTTAACGTTACACTAATAATAAGAGAATAATGTTATGCTTAATATAATGTAAATATGTGGATAAAATACAAATGGTTTAAAGACGTAGCATTATTTGAAGAATTTGACAGTTACTAGAAGTGAAATTACTTCCAGCATACAACTTAGAAGTTAAACCATATACAGGTAGCCCTCGGTTTACGCCGATTCACAATAACGCCGCTATGCAATTTGCTGTTTTGCGGTGTAATTCACCGATTTTCCCTATGCCAGACTGATTTTCATTTCAGTGTTGATGTATTACTGAGCCACGACATTGTATATTCGTTAAAACAAAGATTTTTATTGAATATATTTAGTTTTTCTGTTTAATATTATTGGATATGTATACATTTGCATTAAGTTAATATTAAAACACTAAACGTTTAGGTACCCACGAGTCAAGTTATCAAACTTAATAGTCCAATAAATGGCGTCCAAATCCATAGCGCCAATGAATGTATCCTGTATCAATTCGTTCAAGAAAACACCTTACGACGTAGTAGCATTTCTGGCGATCACAAACTATCGTTAGTGAGACAAATCTACTTTTGGCCAGACGATACTTTTTTATTAGCCAGACGATAGCTATCTCTCCTTAGCCACCTTGAATTTTCCCGCTCAAACTGACCTTATACATGTGCTACAGCAACCGGTGGTCGACCAATCAGTGTCTCCGCTCGTCTGTCGGGCTCTACGTCAAGTTAATGTATCCTTTCAACTATGAAAAGTTTGACAGATGAACTTTGTGAGTTAGACGATAATTGGGAGCGAAGTGCACATGTAAAAAAAAGCATCATCGCATCCATTCGACCATATTCCGAAATTCTCAATGAAAGAAAACAAAAATGTAAACAATTAAAGATGGATACTTTTTTCCGAAAAAATGTAAGAGATCCAAAACTAAAATTTTTTAGTGAAAACATTTCACTTTATTTTATGATAAAATACGTTTTAAAAATTAAAAATTTATATGTATTTTGTATTATATTGCATTAAAAAATTATTTGCTTATTTTTCACTATGTACCTAACATGTAGAACCTAACCCTATATCTCATTGTAAATATGGGTTCGTTTTACGCCGGCTTTTGTAGGAACGGAACTGCTGCATAAACCGAGGGCTACCTGTATTTCATTAACTTAAAAACTAATAAAGAAATATGGAATATAATGCATAGCACATGCATTCAGAGAAATGGACAAATATTCATCTTCTGAATTCATAACTTTAACTATTTATCTATTGTAATGTTTTGGGAAGAATTCTCATCATCAGCGATATTCTAAAATACAAAATTTTCAAATATTCTTTTTGACTGAGATAAGGCCAATGTTCTATTCATTTTCCACAATTGAGTTAAACATTCAAATTCTTAAAATACCTCCCACCTTCCAACAGCAAAAGGTAAAAAATTTCAACAAACACAAACAACAATTAACACCTCAATACTACTTCCAGCAGTCAAAAGATTTTAATAATCTAACGTTTTCGGACCTTTTAATAATCTAACGTTTTCAACAAACAACAACAACTATATTTCAGATGTTTTTTAAATAAGAATTTGAAGAAATTTTAAAAAATCTAAATGTGTTTTTAGAAGCACTCTATAAACTAATCTTTTTTTTTTTGTGATTTTTCCCACAAAGTTAAAAGTAATAAATTAAGTTTATATATGTGCAATTTTCAATTCACCTCCTATAATGGCCATTTTTTAAATTTTCCTGTCAATGGCTTTGTTCAGAGGTTTGACTGTATTTGCCGTGTTGTGATTTTTTAATCCATAAGCGTTTCCTTTGTTATTAATGCTCTAGCCCAGGGTTGTCCAACCTTTTTTCGTAATGGGTCAAATTAGAAATTTACATATATTCAGAGGTCCACAAAGGTACCTTATATAAATATATACTTTTAAAAAGTTCAAATGGGAATATCAAATTTTAATAACAAATATATATAATTACAAAAAAATATTGTATTATTTATTGACAGTAAAAAAATTATTGACAATAAAATTAAAAATAAATTCAATGCGATTTTTTACATTGCCTTTCTTTTATAATATTGTTAATATCTACTTTTAAAGTACTAGTCTTAATTGTAAGAATGTTAGTTAAATGGGAATCACTCAACCCATTTCTTTCAGCAGTTTTGATGTTTTTCATGCATGAAAAGAATTGTTCACAATAGTATGCACTACCCACATGCATAACAGTTTTCTAGATAAAACAATTTTCTAGCATCAATTACATCATTATAACATCAAAGAGTATCCAGTGAAACGAGAATAATTTTTACAACATACTTTAACAAAATAAACAAAACTGTACCTAAAGAATTTAGGGTGTAGTGGGCCGCAGTGTGGCCTGCAGGCCACAGGTTGGACATACCTGTTCTAGCCTTCTTTTATGTTTGCTTGCTTTTATGTTTACAAAAAGTAATTTTAGTTGTGATTTTTTTAAAAAGCCTCTCAATAATTCTTTTCCCGATTGATTATTTATGAACTGTTTCACTATTCTTCCAGTCCTACCCAAATAAGCATGAACGATGCAGTGTAGTTTAGACTCATCCACAGGGAATTCAGTCACTTATGAAACAGCACAATCAGAAAACAAACATTCTCCTATGCTCGTTCCATCTCCATGCTGGTGCAAAGTAACCCCAACATAATCAAAATGTTTACGTGCAGTTGCATTTACTTGAACTGTACATTTTGGGCATAAAGTATAAATAAATGATTTCTTTCTATAAGTTGTCAACATAATTAGAAATAAAATAAATACACATTTACCATATTATAACTTTGAG